AAAGTCCCGATTTTGAGGGTATAAAGTTGACACGCTGGAAATAATAGTAAAAGTCCATGAAAATATTCACCGTGTAATATTTGGAAAACGCTCTCATACATTTTCTTCATATTGCAATATGCTGGGTGCCTTGATGAATAATATCGACTGGTGCAAGTCGCTTTGAAAGTTTAGGTCTAGCTTTCGAGAAAATAAGCGGTAAACGATTTCTATGATGTCATCATTACGTCATAATGAAAAGGCCGCTTTAAACTAATTTATCATTTTTGAAACCTTTAATCCTTTCCTGACATTGTGTGAAAAGCGCTTGCAGATCGAGTTATTCAAGACGAAGTTGTAGCCGTTTCAATGCGGCTAGGTGTGCCAGACCAAAACTACCCTGAGCCTCCTTAACTCATATGCCATGATGGCGAGAGGACTAATTGTTTTAGTCACATCCAACTAGTCGGTCAAATATATAGATACAAACAAGTTTTAAATTGATGTTAAATTTAATGTTTTGGTTTTCAAAGCTGGAACTTTTTGCTAATCGTAGGCTATCACTTATAACCTAGTAGTAGCTCGTCCAATCAGAACGCAGCATTGATGATAGACCACTAGTTGGATTTGACTAATATTGAATAGTTTTTTAATTCTTTAAATTATCAAATACCCGATTGGTTGGCGATTAGATATCGATTATACCTAGATGTATATTCGTTATCAATCATGCGATCAACTATCGATTAGTTGGCGATTAGATGTCGATTATACCTAGATGTATGTTCGTTATCAAACATGCGATCAACTATCGATTAGTTGGCGATTAGATATCGATTTTACCTATGTGTATATTCGTTATCAATCATGCGATCAACTATCGATTAGTTGGCGATTGGATATCGATTATACCTATATGTATATTCGTTATCAATCATGCGATCAACTATCGATTAGTTGGCGATTGGATATCGATTATACCTACCTACAAAAGCTGTTGTTAAACGAAAGATGCTGGAAAGTATCGAGCGGTACGGACTGCGGTTCAAAGTCTTTCACGTTGAAATATGAAAGACTATTATTGACGTATCCCTTGAGACTTCCATCGGGACTGTATCCATATTGATACACAATCCTAATAACAAGATAACATCAGTCAATTGTTGGGTAACCTGTGTATGGAATTTGGCCGAGAGGAGATTAAGTTGGGAGTCAGAAATCTAAGGTCTTATATGATGCATTCTGGTGTTGGTGCAAGGTGCATCTTGTACCCAAGCTAGACCAGAATGCATCTGAAACAAGAAATCTTATTCTGAAGAGAATAACACGTGGTTTGAAAAAGGGAAAACATTACTCCCAAGCTTACGACGTCTATTAGCTTCAATTGTAAGATCATTAGGGTTGGACGGATGGCACACATACCTTGGAATAAACTCCGAAGTAAAAGCAATAACGAAAGAGTTCACAATGACCGCTATTTTACTCATAATCTGTAGGATGCCCAACCAGGATCCAATATCTTGAGCCCGCTCTGCTACTGGTCTTCGGAAATTCACCACAAAGTTGATCGCGTCTATTCGAAGTTCAAGGATGTTGTTGAGAAGAGCGAAGAATGGGGCGAGAGGGAAGGCCGCGACAAACATGGTAACGAAGCCAAACTGGATGACTGGAGGAAACGGTAGAATGTTAGTCATTATATGTCATTTGCATGAGCACATTATGGTCTTGCTTGGGTAGTCATCAATGATGTGACATGATGAACGACAGATGTTGTACCCAAGCTATACCACAATGCAACATGTTCGCAATTTCAGAAAAGGTCTATTCGGGATTATGCAAATTACCCATATCAAAAAAACAAGAGTTAGGTTTGCATGTGACGCCAGCCATCGCCGCTATGTTGGATGAACGAGATAACCAACATGGCCGTCATTCATGTATTTGCATTCATTTTTAGTGTTAATGGCCATTCATGTATTTGCATTCATTTTTAGTGTTAATTGAACTGAAGAGGAGAAAACCTTACCGATATCGTGGTATTCGTAGAACATCCTAAATTCTGGCTCAGGGTTCAGTAAGTAGTCTCTCTCCCACTGGTCCAGCTCATCATTTTCTAACAAATCCTTCTGTGCTCGTCTGTGCCACCATTTTAATGCACAACTAAAGAAATATAATATAGAAAATAATGTTTTACACCTATATTCATTATCACTACGCAAACACTGACAAAGCTCATGAAACAATTTTTTGCTTTCTTCAAAGATAGCTTAGTCTCCTATGCTTAGGGTAGTCACTTCGTCACGCAACGTTTTGTGACGACCCTTCGTCGGAGAGTAACGTTGCGTGACGACTTTGGAAACGTCTGCGAATTTGGCCAAAACTATCTAAGACCGTTGGAAATTTGATTGACGGAAGCCAATTTAAGCCTAGTCTTCTTAATCATCGCTAGTTGTCTGGGTACAATAATGAAAATGGGTACAATATGCTGCAACAAGAGAACGTAAAGTATTTCATACTCTCTGGGTTTCAACTATGCTACGAAAGGCAACTACAAGCAATTACTTACGGTACAATAAACTTGAAAAATAGTGAAATGATCTGCTTGCCAACTAGAATGATAGCCAACTGAATACAAAGTTCTATCAGACACCCAGAGGGGTCACAGCCTTCCATGCGACCTCCAGCAATCCTGTTATACCGCCCAGGTACCCCGACTATCATACTGCCTTTGAAGAACGCAATATAGAACAACGACGAATACATGTTGACCGATTGGAACAGAAACATCTTGAAGGTAAGGCCATCGGAGTATTCAGAAGTTGTGCGCGGGTTCTCCCAGTTTGTTAACCATACCGCGATTTTTTCGTAAACAAAGCTCAGGATAGTGATCGCTGCAAGATTGATACACGAGGCCGTGACGGATGTTATGATTCGTGCGCCACGTCGAACGTCTTCCCGAGGGAAAGCATACAAAGCCGCAGATACGGCAGCCCGGTAAATGACGACTCCAGCAACAGCGGCAACAACTAAAAGGACCATAAAAACCACCACGGCTAAAGAACACGTTTTGCGGATAAGCTGAGTGGAGTATGGAATATATGGCTCCATTTGTCCGTTGACAGGATTCCGCCGTTTCTCCTTCACTGCAGCCACATAGCTCGGTCGTACAGGCTCGAACTCGTCCTCATAGTTCATCATGTCCCAATCAAACGCAAGACTTATTTGTTTGCGCTTCCATACTTCGAGGAATATGGTCGCCCATAGGGACATAAAGGCAGCAAAGAAGACAGTACCATCGTGGTCAAACAGGTGCGTCAACCGCGCGTACTTGCAACTTCTCCCGAGCGTCCAGTAGCTGCAATCAACGTCACATAGCGGGCACATATAAAACAATCTTTCGTTGCTCTTGTTACAAATTTCTTGAGCGGGAATGAAACTGTTCATCGATCCAAGACCAACGAAAAAGCAAATCAGCCCGACAATTGACGCGCCTATAAGGCTGAAGTTATACAGTCCCAACCATGCGAAGTACAAAGCAACACGCACTCCAAAATACTCTTTTATAGCATTTAAGGGTTGAAACCTGAACCACTGACCAAAGGATGCCCAAGAATACCGAAGCCCTTGCCGAGGGCTTGCCGACGAAACATCCGGCGGAACTTCGCAATTTCCTTCGTGGAGTGTATAACCAGCTTGATAGGCCCCTTCGTAAAGCAGTCGGTCAATTCCAAAGTCGTGGCCTTTGGCGGAAAAGTGGGCGCAATGAAGTATCCTATTAACCATCCTGGTGCGGTCGATATCATTGAAGAAAGTTTCTTTGTCGTCAATGAGAAAAGATTCCAGTTTATCTTGGTTGAAAAATGCGTTCACGAAGCGTTGCTTCGTCTCTTGGCCGAAAGAAAGTGGCTTGAAGATTTCCATCATGTCAATCATTCGTTTATAAAGTCCACTAATGCCGGTCAGCGGCGGACGAGGTTCAGCCTTGCGCACAGGTGCACGAATCATCATCTCCTCCGCGCACATTGCTAGAACGTCCCAAGGGGCATGAATCAGAACGAAGATTTTGTTGTATTCCTAAATAAAAGAAATGTCGTTTAAGGCGCAATTACACGGAGTAGTGCTCTGCAACTTGCCTCACAACACCGTTGCGACACAAGTTGCAAGAGCGTTTACACGGTGCAACGAAGACGCAATCGTTGCCAAAAGTAAAACGAATTCTACTTTTTGCAACAATAGACTTCAAAGCTGCTTAATTTGGATGACAAAACAAAAGAATTTTAGGTTTCCAAATTGAGCTGCAAAGGGTCTATTGCTGCAACTTGTTTTGCGACACTTTTTCACATTGCGCTGGTTACACGCTACAATGCTCCACGTATATTGTGTCGCAACGCCTTTGCGAGACAAGTTGCAGAGAAAAATTGTTCCGTGTTATCGCGCCTTTATCATCAATCATTTGTTACATTACCCAACATGGCGGCTTTTGTTATGTCATCCAACATGAACTATCATATCGCTTTAACTTCTATGTGACACACTGTTCACCATTATTAAACAAATTTTAGGAGAGAAATTACATGGTTACTAGAGAAAGAGACAGTACGAGTATGTCAGAGAAATTTGTTTGACTGGCGCGTATGGTGGGCATGCAGCGCCGCTCGCACCTCACCAGTTCAAATCCCGGGACCGTATCGGAGCTACTGTCGTCCGTTCGTCTACGGTTCCGTCTTTCATCTCGTGTCTTAATAGTTTGTAGTCCAGAAAATGAAGTAATGTAAGTAATAATAGTGCTTTAGTTACCCATTGACAGGATTAACCGGGAATGGGACTGATACCAGACAGGAATTTAATGTAGTGACGTCAAATATTTCAATCGATTTCTACCCTTATAGCGAGATTTGTGGCATGGCAAAATGGTCCATTGTGATGGCAGAATGGCCCTCTGATGTTTCCTCCAATAGCCAATTTGCTTTTACCTACCAATGATGTTCGCGTTGACGTGAATGAAGATAAGACTATACCCTATAGGACTTAGACCACGGCGCGCTATGAGAAACGTACTCTGAAACCACAGCGCGCGTTGACGTGAATGAAGATAACAATATACCCTATAGGACTTAGACTATAACGCGCTATGAAAACCATACAGGATGTTTTTGATTGAGACCATTTTGCCACGGACTATCGTGCCCAGTTCTAATGTCGAGCAGGATTAATTTTTTCCAGTGCTTTGAGTGGGTATTTGATATTAATTACGTCAGAGAACCATTCTGCCATGGTAATTGGAGGACCGTTTTGTCATGCGTCAGAGATTGGGAATGACAAGACACGATTGCTGGAATCGATTCCGAGGATAGGTAGTATATTTTATGAAACAAAACGAAAATATTACATCATCATTTTCAAAATCAAAGGCTGCTGGAACCGTGAAATGGCTCGTAAGATTGTCAAAAATATGGGACGTCTGGGTATTTTATTTCAAACAGGAACCAAGGAAAGAAATAAAAGGCGTGGGGAATGAAAGGGTACGGTTGATTGTCATCGAAAATTTGCCACTGCATAAGTAATAAACTTTAGTCTATCTTACCTCGTTTAAGTCCGAGTCGACATGCTGCAGAAGTAAGCCCTTCTCTCTGAGTTTACTTTCAAAATAATCTCGTTTTTCAAGCCTTTTTTCCTCCTTCTTTAATTCTTCGCCTTCCAAGTCGTTTCTCTCTTCGTAGACAAGAACATAGTCTACTTTCTGGCCTTGTTCAATGAGTTTGGAATCTCTGGACTTGGATCTAACGTTTCCACTCTTCGCGCTCGCTTTTCTCTGCTCAATGAGCTCTATTTCATCTACATTCCCTGGTTCCATATTGAACGTAACTGATTTCGGCGGCTTCTCGAGAACTGCCTTCGCAAAACTAGAATTCCTTGCCAACGAGGAGTGTTTCTCCACACCACTAGACGACGCAAGGGAGAGAAGCTTCAAGTTTTGGGTTTTCTTCTCATCTTCTTTAGAATATGCCTGTTGAGGAATATCATCGCCTGCCTCCATTATTAATCTAAACGCTCAAAAAGCACTTTGATATTTCTTATTTACATTGCTATTAACATTTGTTAGGTTTTCGAAAGGAGTTTGGATTTAAGTCGGTACAGTTGTGTTAATGTATATAGTATGAACAGGTACCAGTTCATGCCAAACGCTCTACAGCTGATATTGTTTTTGTCATTAATATTTCAACAACTTTGTAAATTTCACAGACAAATAAATCCTTTTTAAATTAGTCGAAAGTATGTCGTGGAATTTAACCCAGCGCCACTGATTTTAACAAGGATTATAGAAACATAGGTGTTAAAAGTGGAAAATGGCGGGAAAATGTAGTCGTAAACAAATTAACCAAAAAGAAAGCGTTTTGCTAGTCGCTAAACAGCAAACAAAACAACTAGATTTACCATACAATTCCCATTTTCCCAACCATTCTTTTCTTCCATTTTTCAGTCACTCAAATGGCACGCACACGCGAGACTTCAGGCGTAAGAAAGTTACCAGAAGAGAAAAATAGGGAAACTGTAAAGAAATACCTAACTTTGAAACTCTCAGAACTCCTAACACGCCCTATAAACACGCCCTAAATCATCAAGCAAATTGAAAACAAAGTTCTCTCTACAAAACAACTAAAAATATAATTAACATTTGACACGAGGATTACTTTGCTTTTGCACAAAAAAAAGCACAGGGTATATCCACGAGTTCGCCAAAGGCAGTTTGATTAATTTCGAAGTGTCACGAACCGAAAAAAACTGAATTGAAAAAAAATGCATATACGAAATCTGATTAAATTAATAAATTTTTTACTTACCAAATTGGATTATCGATTGTGAAGAGGGATTACTCCACTAATCCTTCAGAGGTTGGATTTTGGGCGGGTTAAAGTAGAAACGAACTGTGGCAGTGCTCATGTTTCAGAAGATGAGCCTAATAAAATGCCGCACGAAAAAGACAATTATTATTGAACCCGTTCATATTAAACTCGTGGATATTGTGTTTGCAAAAGGCTTCATTTACATAAACAAATAATAAATAAACTGCGGGTATCTGCCTCAACTCCTTTCTATATATCGCAATGGGATGAAGCACTTCACAAAAAAGAATTTCAAGGTAAAAATATTTTTTCTGAAAGTAATTAATAATCCTTAATTTTAAGAAATATTTTAAATGTTATATTAAATAATTATTAAAATATGAGTAATCGATATTTATATCTTAAACAGTCAAAGTTTATGCATTAAATAAAGATGTAATATTTGCCCATGCTCGTCGTGTATTATACATGGTTAATGACCCTTGATCGAACTCAACTTCAGCAAGTCAAATCTTGTACTGATATTTGTGGAGCATAAGGCCAGTAACAGATTTCACTTTCCAGATATATTTTCTAATAAAACGTACTTTATATTCTAGGTGTTTTAAGCTAACTATAATTTCTGAGCTGTAAAGCAATATTTGATTAAAGATCAATATTATAGTTTTTTTACTGCACGTATTTGACTATCCAGCTCCAGAATATTAAGGCAACATTGAGGGCAATTAAGCTACTTTAATCGCCCTACACTTTTATTACCTAAAATAATATAATTTCCTTTATTTGTATTACAATATGTATTCGTATTTTATATCCTGTAAATATACAACTGTATATCAAAAAAAAGTGTAAATAAACAAGTTGAAGTTGAAATTAAAACCGGATATATAATGCTTACCGACTAAAAAATAATATTTTATTTATAATCTGTATAAAAAATAGACCTAAGTATGGATAGAAAGGCTAATGAACTGCTTTTTAAGACATTTACCTGTTTTTTCTGGGAGTTATTTCAGTATTTGTTGCACTTTGAAGAAGACTGATGCATCAGAACGCGATGTTGATCTCTACCCACAATACACTGCGGGTATACTAGTGAGCCCGCATTAACTACGAACAGCGGACTAAACCCACAATTCAAAATGGCGTACGCATTGCTTCGAATGTGCAGACAAGTTTACTGTAAAAAATACATCGAAATATTGAGATTTAGAGGTTCTACCTTATTGAATACATTATCTATAGATAGTAGAAACAGTGTTAGGTATTATAGTTCTGTTTCGTCTTTAGCAAATTTGGAGGTTGGAGCTCATCAAATGAAAACTGGAAAGTTCGCAAATATTGCAACACGTTATCAGCATTTTTTTGCCCGCCAAATTCTTTTTACAAATTTTGGAAGCTTTTTGGGAAGCAGAAAGAACTGGAAAGCAGGGTATTCAGGACTATCAACTTTTAAATCTGGAAATATTGTTAACAGTAATGATGATGATGATGATGAGGAGGAGGATAATGATGATACCAAAGCACGGAAATTCAAGAATAAGTCGACAAGAAGGAAAGTATCCAATGCTAAATATAGCACTAAGGTTCAAAAGGCAGGTGACAGCTTAATGCGACCATCTCGTTATGCCTTTAAGGACCTTAGTGAGGAGGATGAAGATCAACGATGGGTCAGGAGACCTATAGATGATAACATGTCAAAAAGAAAGGTTGACTGGTATACTAAACAAATGGCTCATTTGATATCAGAACGTGAAGTAAGTAAAATAACTGACTGATTGATTGACTGTGTGATCCCAAATTAATCAGATAACTACAACGTCTTTTTGCAGGTTGACAAGGCTCAAGAGCTGTTCAACTCAATGAGATTAGAAAACATCAGGCCGACTACAGAGATTTTCAACATATTGATAGCTGGTTATGGGAAAACTGGAAAGATAAGAAAAGCTTTTCACAACTACAATAATGTGAGAACATTCTTCAAGTTAGTTGATGCATTTAAAATGGTGTAAACTCACAAGCAGTGCTGATTGATTGTGTCTAATTTGTTTTAGAAACCTCATGAAAACTAGATGATTTGGTTTCCTTTTCCACTCATTTCTCCTCCCATTCTATTCATCTTATTTTATCCCATCTCTTCCCATCCCATGACATTCCACCTAATATCATGTAGTATATCCCATTTTATTTCATTTCAATAGTCCACCATGATGATCTTATCCCTAGCATCTTTCAAGTCCCATTTCATTTTCTTTCATTCCATTCCCTTTTATTAAGTTCCATCTTATTTTGTGTCATCCTTTAGGAGAATTAATCCTGTAAGTTATGTATTTCATTTATTAATCACCCTTATTATATGACCGTGAATCTTAGAGCCTGAACGCTAGCAAATCGAGCAATCTGATTGGATAGATTGCATCGCGGACTGGTCTAGATTCTCCGGTATTAACCGGTCCGATCGCATGTTAATCTTACGGCGAAAACATTTTGTCCTATTCAATGAAAAGTGGTCATATGATAAAACTCTTATCAACCGAGCTCGGTCGGTCTGTACGGGATAATCTTGACCTCGGTCGGGTACATACCTCGCTGCGCTTAGTCTGTACATTCTGACCTCGGTCAAGATTATCCCGTACAGACCTCCCGCTTGGTTAATAAGATCTAAATATTAAAGCTTTTTTTTTTCCAACAGATTAAAAAGATGGGTTTACAACCTACAGCACATACCTTCACTAGCTTATTTACCATTTGTGCTCAGATTTCAACACCAAACCTTTCTTTGTCTCAACTGTTAAAACTTTGGGAAGAATTCCAAGAAGGAGTTAAAAATGATGAAATAACTCCTGATATCATTACTTATAATGCAGCCATGAAAGCAGCAGCTTCATCCAAGAGTTTGGCTGTCACTCTTGACATCTATGAAGATATCTGCTCAAACAATCTGCCGCCTGATTGCCGAACGTATTCTTCACTACTAGGTGCATGTGCTGGGGAAGGAGACACAGACAAACTCTCCTGGGTCTTGAAAGAAATGAAAGAACATAACGTCAAACCTGATTTATTTGTGTTTAATGCTCTATTGAGGGCTGTTAGGGACTCTAGATCACGAAATGCTAAAGAAAACAGAGAAACCTTTGCTATGGAGAAACTTACTTCACTCCAACATGAAACCCAGAATAAAGAAAAAACTGATCGCAATGCTAAAATTGACTCAAGTTCAGCTCCTTCTATGGAAGAATATCTCGATATAGAAGATTCTGATTCTGCAGTCAATGCACTTGAGGTTTCGTCAGACAAAGATAACTCTACAGCCCCAACAATATTCACTGGAACAGAGGAGATACTCCAGCTGATGGCCGTCAATGATATTTTGCCAGACATCCGAACATTTCATCTTTTACTCCAAATAGCAAAACTTGAAGTTGATGAAGAGGAATACATTCTTAATTTGATGAAGGAATGGAATATTAAACCAGATTTACCAGTTTTGAATGCTTTGGTCAAGAGAAGAGCTTTATTTGGAGATGTTACAAAAGCACAAGTATGTTAAATTGTTACGAGTGGCTCCTCTTAATGAAGAACCGACAAACCTCTTTACCTTAATGCAACGTTTTCCCATTTCAAACCATTAGTCATTCTCTAGAGTATTATTTCTTTGTTGAACAGTTGTGCATGAGAAGACACATGAATATAAAAAGAGGTGTGGTCTTAAATAGGAAAACATTGCACCAAGACCAATAAGGTCTACAGCGCTTCTAAATCGCATGCGGAAAATCATACAATTTGCTGTTCGATGGCAAAGTAGATTTTGGGGGACTTCAAACAAGGCATTTCCATGATATTCCGTATGCATGTGCTCTTTACAACTTTGTGTTTACTGACAATGTCATGGAAACACTKTGATTGACATCCACCAAAACTCTACATTTAGTATTATTTACACAATTTAGTTTTTGCAAAGGTTACTTATTTCTTTTTTGTTGTTATACATAAAGGCCTATATGAAAATATTTGAAGAAGAGTTTGATGTGAATCCAAACAAGACAACATATCAAAGCTTAGCAAGAGGCTGCAGGAAAAAATCTGATGGGATGTGGTTGTTGAAGGAAATGGAGGTACAGACAGGGTAGATATAGGTCATCGTCAACACTATATTCACATTAAATGTATTAGTAGTACTGTTGTGCATGTATACTTATGTTTAAAAACATTAGCCTCTGGCTACTAAGACTCTACAACAACTTCCATTATCAAGATCTAAAATAAGAAGTAATAAAGATTTATTATCACTGGCATCATGATGATTATGATCATCAACATCATCTCCAGCACCATCTTTGTCATCAACCTCATCATCATATCACCACTACCACCACCAATGATCATCATCATCACCATCATAACCACCACTATTACCATCATCATCACCAACATCATCATCACCATCATAACCACCACTATTACCATCATCATCACCAACATCATCATCACCATCATCATCACTACCATCATCACCATCATCACAATATTGCTATCATGATCAGCAACATCACATAATTCTCATCATCATGACAACCACGATCAACACCTTGACCATCATAAAAAAACATTTTTATAAAAAATTTCAGGAAAAAGGATTTCCTCCTGACATTTTGGTGCACAGCAAAATGATCAAGAATGCAACATATCGGCAGGATTTTCAATTCTTGACAGAACTTTTAAAGGTCTGTAAACCATTGCACTAACTATTGTATAAAAGCTCTTCTAAACTAAAGACTAACTTTACTTTGAATCGATCCCAAAACGAAGTCTGGGCTGAGCCAGGGCACAACCCCCCTCCCCCCACAGAAGAGCAAAGAATTGACAAAGGTACTTGTTATCATTATAACAGGAAATGAAGAAAAGTCATGTTAAACCAACAGCAGAAATTCTTCTCCTGCTAGACGAGATTGCTAATAAACCTGATAATGATGTTCTGAAGAAAGTGAGTAGTCCCACCAAGGATATAGCTGAAGCACCCCTCCCCCTTTAAAAATCATGAGTCGTTGCTAAAATACCACCTCACTTCTTTAGAGGGTTAAAGCTGTCACGAGACAAGAAAAGAAATCCCAGTTCATTAGGAAGCAGCGACTGGGATTCTATGGGTTTTATAAGACATGGAGACACCAGATTGAACAGATTGAGCAAAATAAAGCACCAAAACACCATAACGCAGAAAATGACAGCAAAGTGGAAAAGAAAGAAAAAGAGGAAATCAGTTATGACCACTTATAAAAAAAGGTTTTATTACAAAATTATTACGTTGAAATTTTATCGCTAAATGTAAAATATATTTTTTCTATAAAATTGTTGTACAATTTATTGTGAAATTTTTGCTACTGATATCAAAAGCTATAAACTATACATACTGCATTCATGAATTAATAATGAATTATAATTAGAAATAATTATGAATTATTAGTATTTTGTTATATTTAATTTTAGTCACTATTCTATATTGATTCTATTATATATCATTGAAAATACAGCCAATCAGAATACAGTGCATATTTGGCAGTATTACACCATTTCTTCGCATCGGGCAGTGCGTTTTTAATTCCTTTACTACTGTAAATGGCTAGGTATTTTCAATTATTAGGGGGGGGGGGACTGACAGTTATATGATGTTTTCTCATGGCACAATGTGGAACATCCAACTTGTCTCTTGTAAATGTTTTAGTAAACACACTCTCCACTATGGCTAACGTCTCTAAGTGAGACAGGACTACCATCGTACCTGGTCATCCAAGCTACAGCAAAGGTCTAACCATTTTCAGATACTACATGTATGTATATTTGTAGACTACAAAATATGAGTGGGTTGTTGAATATACTCTGGTATGCCATTCAAAATCATTATAAAACTAGTATAAATATGTAAATAAATGGAGTGGAAATGGAAATGGAAATGGAGTGCAGGCAATGGCGTACAAAACTATATCTGTGAAAAATCCTATCCTAAGCCACAATTTCATTACCTTTTACCCAGACTACATTTAAAGCCTAAGAGTACAAAATTTCAATTATTGCTAGATATACAGTAACCTGCATTATAAAATATTCCTGTTTAAATTTGAGCAAAAGCCATGTAAATCAAAAGATTTTAGGCATGAAGGATGAATACTACCAATCAAACATGTTTCAAATAAACGTAAAATAAGCTACCAATTTGATTGATGTTTTTTCATCCTTTACAAAAAATTCATTTATAACCTGCATTTTAATATACAAAAATTCACCCCATAATTCTGAATATTACAATAATGAATATATAATAACAGCTAGTGTTTTGGGTCCAAGAAGGGTGTACTGCGTAGTTCCAGAAAATATCCTTACCTCCCCCCTGGAGAGGGAATGGTATTTCCAAGGGGTGGGGAGGGTATGAGGAGGATATATTGTGTAGTACCAGAAAATATTCATACCTCCCTCATGGAGGGGGATTGGAATTTACCAAGGGGTGGGGAGGGTCTGAGGAGGGTATATTGTGTAGTACCAGAAAATATCCTTACCTCCCACATTGGAATTTCCAAGGGTTGGGGAGGGTCTGAGGAGGTATTGTGTAGTACCAGAAAATATCCATACCTCCCCCATGGTGGGGGATTGGAATTTCCAAGGGGTGGGGAGGGTCTGAGGAGGGTATATGTGTAATTCCATGAAAATATCCATACCACCCCCATGGAGGGGAATTGGAATTTCCAAGGGGTGGGGAGGGTCTGAGGAGGGTATATTGTGTAGTTCTAGAAAATATCCATACCTCCCAAAAAAAACACCCAGAAATTACGAAGAGGAATATTAGATGTTAGTCAAATCCATCTAGTGGTCTAACATCAATGCTGCGTTTTGATTGGATGAGCTACTATTAGGCTATAAGTTACAGCCTACTAAAAGTGCCGGTTTGAAAACCAAAAAATTTTTGTTTGCATCTATATATTTGATTGACTAGTTGGATTTGACTAAAACAATTAGTCCTTGCCCTTTTGGCCTATGAGTTAATGGCCCATTCGTTCTTCAGCCTCATGGGCTATTGACTCGTAGCCCATTCAGGCTCAAGGACTAATTGCTAATTAGTTGCAGCTGTCCATATTTTTGAATAAAAAATTAAGATATACATTAGAATGCAAATAATATACCCGTGAAATAGTTAGGATGAAATAGGAGAGAGTTAGCGCTTAATTAGACAAGACATAGGAATTCAGTGAGGCATGACAAGGGCACAAGCGTTTTGAGTGACAACTTAATACGCAGATGAATAGATACGAAAATGCGAACATGTCAAACTATATGAAGGAAAAGCATGTACAACAAAATATTGTTTCAGTTTTCGTAAGCGTGTTTAAAAATATTTTAAAATGCGTGCCCTTGAGTAACACGTGCACTAGTTTACCCGTCACGGCTCGCCTATTTCTTAACTAATTAGACTTAGGCAACCAAAGGTTAGTAATTAGTTAGCTAGCTATCTATTTCACGGGTATATTATTTGCACTCTACTCTAAATATTTAGTCGTACGCTTCAGTGAGGTAGTTTCTTGGGATTAGTCTCGTCTCATACCCTTGTGGCTTATACTTGGATCCAATCCACCAATCAGAATGAGGCTTTTCATAAATGTAAATTAAATCCCCGCGGCTGAACTCAAGCTCGTCATCTGCATCAGGGTTGCAGTCCCATAATGCTTGATAAATGTTTGAGTAGTCTATGGCTTGGTCTTCTGTTTCCTCCTCAGGGGGAGGAGGTGGTGGGGCTTTGTCAGGGATTGTATTCTCCTCAGGGGGTGGGGGTGGCGGAGCTTTACCAATAGGTGCAGTTGTTTCTTTGTCTGGTTCTGGTGGTAATGCACCATTTCTTCGAGGTGGAATGCTTGGTTTCGGTTCTCCAGGGGGTGGGGGTAGTGCAGGGCGTGGCATTCCTGGAGAAGCCCTTCCAATGTCAGATGGGGGTGTTGGCAAGGACATCTGAGGTTTAGTCAAAGTTTGTGCAACATCTGCAAGAAAAAACATGTTGAAATCAAAATGCATAGTAATTTAATCTTGCATAAACATTTTTGGCAAGTAATACGTGTCTCATGCCACTCTGGCTTTCCTCCCACTCCAGAACCTAAAATGCTAAAGTACAATTTGATCTGTGAGCTATTATGCCCTGACTTAAATCAGCCCAGAGGTTGTTTTAGAGTTCGATCAAATTTGAAGGAATAGTTTGAAGGAGTACCTGGAGGAGAGACATCAACTCCAACATCATCATATAACTCTTCTTCTTCTTCTGTAGTTGGTGGAATATCATGCGAGGGAGGCTTTCCAGGCACAGAAGAAGCTGCCTGTACTACCACAGCTGGACGTGAAGGCTGTACTGGAGCTGACCGCTCCTGGTTTTCATCTTTTGGCATTTCATAAAAGTCTTCTTGGACTGCTTCTTCCTTTGTCGATTCTTCCATTGCTGCTTCACTAGCTTCAGCTTGAGGGATTTCATAGTCAATGGTAGCAGACCCTGAATCATCATTTTCATTGACGTCATCATAGATTTCTCCCCCTCCACTTTGTCCATTATTCATAGTCCCACTCTTTAAACTGACATCATCATAACACAAGCTGGTAGAATCTTCATCACCGTCAGGGGATTCACTTCTTAAAGAATCAAGATATTCACTCTGACGCTTAGATATTTTACCACCTGCAGCTTTTTCAATTGCATCCATCCACTTTACCATTTCCTCTTTCGATTCTGACTGAAACTGAAATTTTTTTTTGATTATTTTAATTCTTCATGTGATTGGACAAATCTACTAGCTTTAGCTGTTATATTACAGCGTGGGACAATCAAGACAGAGCTAGGCTCCAAACTAAGTGGAGCCCAAGATCGAACTAGAATTTAGAAGTTGATTTTTGAGGAGGAACGAAAACTGGAGAACCCGGAGAAAAACCCTCAAAACACAGGAGAGAACCAACAAACAACTCTACTCAAATACGACATCGAGATCGGCAGGACTCGAACTCGGGCCGCATTGGTGAGAGGCAGTGCATTAGCAGCGCATGCCACCTGTGCTTCCCTCTTATTAATAAATGGATTCCAGGATTTTGAATAATTTTTATGGAGGTGTCACCCTGATCTCTGGTATATAGCAATTATTTAAAAATAATCAACTTTATTTAACAATCAACTATCATTTAAACATGAGTCAAATCTCACTTATGAATAAAGTGCACTCACATCAATAATTTCCAAGAGAATGAAATTATATATTATCAAAGACATTACATCTATATCGGGTAAAAGAAGTACAACAGTTGCACAAGTTAAATGACAGCTATGCTTAAAACCCAGCAATAGAAATATTAAAAAATTACGTACCCTATGTATACTTACAGTATACGAGCGGTCTTTCTCTCTCGTTAAAATAAACTCTCGATTTGACTTGGATTGCTTGTTAACCTTCACCTTGTATCCTGGCAGTAGGATGGTTCCCTTTTGTCTATCTGAATTTGGGTTTATGAAGTAATACATAGCAAAGCTCCTCACTATACAGTACCTCTTCTGCCATTTGTTACCAATGTATAACTTGCCCTTCTTGCGATGCTTATCAAGATATCCTGAAGAGTTATAGATAGTAACATTATTAGACCATGATTTTTATTGATCCATGATTCAGAAACGATCTCTGCACTGAACTAAGTCAGAGCATGTCTGACTTAGTTCTGGCTCACGTAAGTCAGAGCACAGCTAACTCGAAGATCAATTCCTCAAACCAACACTAGGTTTTTTTTACATTTTTTATTGGGCATCAATCAGGAAGGAAAGTTACAAAACCAACATGCTACCCAAAGCGGAAAGTGCGAATGGGACTCTAAGTCCCATGCTAGCCATTTCCTTTTGACTAAYGATATAAATCAATAAAGAATTGTCTTGGAAAATTAATACAGTTATAGAAGTAAAAATTGATAACTAGTGAACTGAGAACGGCCAAAAAATAATCAATGAAGTTCAAACAAACAAAAGTCCCTGCGGTTATTATTGAGTATGATGACAAGGTTAATGTACGCTAGGGCACAGCTAATAACCCAGAGCTTGATCTAACCCTTAAACAACAAGGTCTGGGGTGATCCTGTTGTCAGCGATTATGGTAGCTATAATTCAAATATCAAATTGGACTGTAGAGGGAGAAAAGCTAAAAAAACCCTGTCATGAGTAAAACCCTCAAAACAATGCCCATACTCTACTCAAATACCTTAGTTACTAAAACCCAGAACCAGCCATAGCGCCCCACAATGAACCACATACACAACAATCCAAAACGATCCACAAGGTTTTATATAATTATGTTTTGCCACTGCTAGTTATAGATTGCGTGAAAATATCAAAAACAGTTGGTCCTGTGCATTTTTGCCCCATCTCCACTCCCTACTTATATTAGTAATCAATGCGTTGTTCTGTAAACTTTTTAAGACTACATACCTTTATAAATAACTTCTTTAACATCAGTAGCTTTGATTGGATTCATTAACATTTCCAAATCTCGTGTTATAGTTCTGTCTTTCTGCTCAAGGCTCTCAGCATCTGCCTTGTTAGTCTCCTCTTGTCCATCGCCAGCATCGACCCCCTCATATACATCATCGCTTTTTTCTTCCTCTGGCGTATGTTTTGGTTCTGCAACTAAAAATCAGGATACAAAATAAATCTTGCAACATAGGCACATTAATTATTGTCATGCTGCTCTACTCTTGTTCAAATCCTATAATTATTACATTAATAGGTTTGTTACTGCGAATCGTTTTGGGGCAATGTACTGCTGATTGGACACATGAAAAGAGCAGCATGTGGAAAGGGCATAAATTCAATTTGTTTTAATTGTTGTATAAACTCTATGGGATCAAGAATCATAATCGCAACACAGGCAGTGAAAGCTCATGAATTCATTACAACACAATATATGAAAGAATATTCACTTGCTTCATTGAAAATTTTAAATAATTCAAGTAAATAGTTTTGGGGCTTTTTAATCAAACTTTTCCATATAATGAGCAGATTGATTCAAATTATCTTCCTTAACTTAGTACATTACTTCATAACAGCTACACAGATGAAGCTCTAGCTACAGATTCCTCTGATTTCAAATTTTTACAGCAAAATCTAGACTAGACCCTATACCTTCATAATCTATATCTTCAGTAATTGAAGTAGAATCTTCTTTGCCAGGTTCCTCATAATCGTCTTCCGAGGGAGTGTTGACTGTATCATCATACATTTCTTCTTGTGGCACTTCTTTGTTACTCATGTCTTCGTAACTTTCTTGGGTGTCATTGTCTTGTGTCTCTTTGGGTACACCACGTACTTCCATTGAAAAATGACTTTGAGATATTACCCGATCTATATTACATGTGACGACAAGGGAATAATTATTAGAGATCTAAATTATGCTTCATCAGCTAAATTTTCTTGGAAAAAAAATTGCACTCCAGGCAGGATTTGAACACATGCCCTTCTGTTTTCTGGTCAGATATTCTACCACTGAACTACTGGAAACTCATTGTTGGAAACACAAGAGGGTTGAATTCACATGTAGGCCAATCAGTCCAAAACGATAATAATTCAACTTGGATGAAATGCCATATTTCAATTTGGTGTATACAGCCTACATGTACCCTGTAAATTGCTTGAATTCACTAGACATTATTTTTGGTCTTGTGCAGAAATGTTCCTCACCAGCTGACTTGCAAATTAGTTTAAACGTTTTAATACAATTCTTTCTGAATAGCAAAACATGGTAGTCAGTTTTTGACCACCATTTAATTAAATAAAGCAAATAATGAGATTCAAAGATTTATCAGCTGATTGAAACCCAGCATTATATTAGTTACATGTATTATTAAATTATTCTTACCATCAGATTCTTCTTTCACTTCAATGATATCAGGGCCTACATCATCATAAAGATCTTCACCCTCCTCCTCCTCTTCCCATGTTGCATTTTGTACTGATTTTGGTGGCCGGGGAGGAAGTTGGCCATCACTTCTAGGTGTACTTCTGTTGATCAAGTTCTTTAACCTTGTTTCTAACTTTTGTCGTTTGTTTTCTGTTTCACGATTTAATGATTCCTTGGAAAGTCCAACAGAGATGAACTCCTCTGCATCTAATATATGAAAAATACATTATAAATTGAATGATATAAATTAAGGGATACTTAAGGGCAGATGGCTGGTGTAGACTGATAATAAATTCACCCAAGCTCAACTCTGAATATATGTATAGAAATATAGATAAGTTATAGTGCTTAGGCATGGTTATTCCGGGCAAAAGCCCTTGGAATTTAATTCGGAAAAATTAATTTCCGACCTCGCTGGGAATCGAACACACGACCTTCGAAAATGTACTACCGATGCTCTACCAGCTGAGTTAGAGGTCAGACTGAGAGCATGCCGGGGTGAAATAGATGTTAGGTTGTGGTAATTATGATGCAAAGATGAGAATATGTGGACTGCGTAGCACTTATGAAATAATAATGCTAATATATATCTACTAAAAAGGAAAGTGTTAACTCCCTTAGTAATATACATAATGTAACATACAGTATATTATAATTCATCAATATGACCTCATGAATATTTAACCATCAGTGTTATTTAGTTTCTACTAACTTCCTCTTGCAATCTCAATAGTTTCGACTCTCGATACCTTTTCTGCTCTAAGGCCCCTACTGCATGTATCAAAATATTTTACAAAAAAATTTGCACAATGGCCTTAATTGGAAACGAAACTTTTTGAGAATGGATTATATTGTCTGCATGCCAATGTAACATTCATTGGAATATATAATGATCGTTAATGTCTAATGTTTCAAACATTTGACTAAAGAATGATAAACTTTGATTGTTACAGTTCAAAAGTGATAGATGAGACTAACACTTGTGAAGGAATTTTTGCGGAGCCAGTTGCATTATAACTGCCATGTTGGTTGACAATAACAAAGTATTCCTGAATAGTAATGATAAAAGGGTAAATTTTACACCGTGAAAAGATGAAAAACTTCCTGACGCTTCAGACGCTAGTTTTTTCATCTTCATTTACTCCAACGAAGGACTAGTGTCTGAAACATCAGTTTTTTTCCATAATTTTCATGGTGTAAAATTTACCCTTTTATCATTACTGTTTCATTAGAAACACTGACTCAGCTCACACTAGTTTTTAGCAATTAAGTTATCTCTTCTTTCTCTTTTACTCCGACGAAGGACTAGCATCCGAAACGTCAGTAAGTTTTTTCATCTTTTTACGGTGTATAATTTGCTTTTTTATCATTACTGTTTCACTAGAAACACCGACGCAGCTCACACTAGTTTTTAGCAATTAAGTTATCTCTTCTTATCTCATTAGATCAACCTTCATTGTTATTTATATTTTGAGGGATTTTGAGTTATGTGATTGCACCACAAGAATTAAGAATGTTATAATTCTATGATTGTGAAGACTATCTTTAGAGAGAGTATATCTTTATTAGGTGATATTTCATTACTTATTGTATATTAAATTTATCATTTAAATCTACAATATAATTTTTCTATACAACTTCTATATTTTTGATAAAAAAAGATCAGAAATGGTTTAGATATTATACAATTGATTGTGGGATAAGCTAGCTTATGTTTCGTACGTAAATTTGAAACGATTTTAACCATTATTAGAAAACGAAATTCTGCTTCAAACCACTTCGAAACCTTCTCCAATCAATGTAAACCAAAACAAATGAAACATTTTGATGTAGATTTTGACCCTCAAAAACTTCAAATACTCAACAGAAGTTGAGAATAAAACTTTATAACCTCAAGACTGACGTTTCCTTTCTAAATTTGATAACGTTTAGACAATCTTGAAATACAAACGCATCCCGGAAGTCGGAAGTTCAGCATACCAGGAGATCCAAACTTCGATTCCTTGATTTTTGATTTTATAAAACTTTAACATCTCAAAAACAATGGCTTACCCCTTAAAGCTGAAAGTAATTCATTGGGATCTGATTCCATCTTGACGTCCAAATGAACAACCAAAGAGAGATCAAGGAATCAATTAGATGAAGTTGGGCATCCTTTGATGTTTAGAAGGGAATATTTTCGATCCAATTCCGCCTGGAATTATGGGAATCGTGTTAAATTTCCGGGTCTGAGTTCCAGCTGGTGGGCTCCCTGTGGTATTTGTTCCTCACAAGGTGGGCGCCCTCGCGTACCTTGTAGCCCAGTACTTAAAGTGCAAATTAACCCTTCGACAATGCTTTCAGTACTGGTTCTGCATAAAGTAAATAGTTGATTGGTAAAATATTCTTTGACTTGAGTGATACGTCTCCAAGTTATGAAGATTTATACTTCCAATATGCTAATAAGTGTGACGTCAAGTAAGGTATTTGAGTGTTCTTGTTGTAACTAGTAATATACTAAATGCTGGCCATTTTGAAAATATAAATTTAAAATAGATTTCATGTAAACCATGAGTAAAATAATGATGCTTTTTAAATACTGTTTCTATGAACCAGTTCGATTTTGTTTATTTAATTAAGCCTTAATAGACGTCACACTTATTAGCATATTGGGAGAGTATAAACCTTCATAACTTAGAGACGCATCACTCAAATCAAGAAATATTTTGCCATTCAACTATTTCCTTCATGTAGAATCAGTAATGAAAGTATTG